TAAACAGGCTTTGTGAAATTGAATTTAAGGAAAACTTGTGTATTTGCATGAGTACAGTACATGTACATTCAACAAACAATTTCAAAATTTGCCTTTAATAATAGAGAATGAAACACTAATATTTAGTATGAGATCTAATTTTTAGTTTGGAAATCAAAGGATAAGAGAAGTATTGATAGGGGAAGGGGGTGGTTAGCCAAAAATTGTCAATTAATTTCTTTGTATGTCCTTCGGGATTCTGCAGTTTTACCTTCTAAAATCCTTCATGGAGAGAGACACCAACAACATATGGATCTTGCGTGTATCTTTTGACTTTGCTATCAATTGAATTTATTAAGAATGATTAAAAATGAAGAAATCTGAATATGTTGCATGAAACTTGTGAAAGGACTTGCAATGTTGCATAAGGCTTTGTGGGGTGCTTTTATTCCATTTGGTGTTCCTCGGTTACTTTACTTTGACATCCAATATTACCCAAAGAGCAATCCAATACCTGCATTAGGTGCATGTATATATACTTGCCATACAATCTTCCAATGCTGTCAAACTTGAAGGGTGGACAAGATTTATCATTTGTTCTCCTAGACAATGCATTGTTTGCATATTATCGAAAGTGACACTTTAAATTAGGCTGTTATAACACAAATTTCTTTTTGCTAAATTAAAACAAACTCTCTATTTGTTTTAGACCTGTCAAATCAAATAGAGGCTTTGGTCGTCGAGCAGTGGGGCTGTTTGAACTGAAATTGTAGGATACTTCGTGTGGATGCTTTATCAAAGAATTACTTCTAAAGTGTGTCTGTGAATTGTTTTTAACAAACAGAACACACTGGGAGGGAGGAAAAAAGAGAGCATTAGCTCTTTTATAAATGTCACCCCCTCCCCAAAAAGGGATCTCGACATACTTATATACATAGGTTCCAGATAGTTTAATTGTAGGCCAAGGATTTTGTATTTTTCATTTCTGCGCAAAATATATATGTATTTGAATTTATTTTTTTCATCATTCATTTTCATAAAGGAAACCAATCGGAATAATTCACGTTGGCTATTGTCTTTGGATACATATAAAGCCCAGTGGCTTAAGATCTTTTTAATATCTGATGGAAACACAAAAGAGTTCTTTGATTGATTTAGGAGATAACAAACGCCAGTGCTAAACCGGTGCTGCAAAATGGGGATACATAATTTAATTTTATTGTAAAAAATGTTCCGAAGCATTCCTGGTTACCTAGGCTGGGAAAGAAAATCCAAATTTGTTTGAACAGTTCTTGAACAGAAAAGTCTATATACACTTGTTTTAGTGGTGTGGTTTGTTCCATCATTGTAAAAAGTCTGAAAGGGGCTCTCAAGAACGGTGTGTTTAAATATTCCGCGATTTAAAACAATTTCATGCTTTAAAGAAATAACAAACTTGGCTAATGAGGCACTTGAGGAGATTTGGTATATAAATAACATGAAATTCTGCCCATCGGATCAGCTTTGGAGGTGATTGTAACAGAACATAGGAATATTCTTTTCAAGAGCTTGCAAGTGGGGAAAAAAGTTATTGTATTAATGAAAGCATGGAATTGCAGTGCTGGAAAACATTGCTAAATCTCAAACTAAATGTTTTGAGCATTCAAGAAGAACTTAGTAAGTAAATATATACATTTGAATTTGTAATTAAATGGGTGTATAAATCATTTAAAGGTTCTAAAAAATATATAAAATGGGAGTTCTTGACTTTAAAGAATAAATTTAAATTTTATTTAAGAGGGTAAATCAATTAAAGTATGTCTTAAAGAAGGTCATGTATAAAATACTTGATTTTTTAAAATCCTTTTCCACTTCAATTTGGAGTTTTGGAAAGATGTTACCAGACAGTTTAAAATAAAGTGCAAACGGTGAAATTTTTCTTTTAATTTTGATTCTTTATTTTTTGTTTTGATTGTTGAATTTTTAGAATACTTTTCCTATTTAAAAAGTACAGTAAAACAAGGTTTTAGCAAACTAATATGCTTATGATAAATTGTTGCTACAGTGAAGCAATTTTCATTTCCCTCACTTAGAAATTATATTGTGAGCTTAACAATTATAATGACATATGATGTTTATAATGAAGCAAAATTGTTCATCCCTAACAATGTTTTACTGAAAAAAGGATTTTAGTATGTTAGTATAATCTTGAACTTTATGGATTAAAATAAAGTAAGTGTTGATCAATTAAGTCATGCAAGAATTTTGATGGGTTTCTCTATTAGTTAATGGTAACCCTTTTAAATGACAATATTAAACTTATTTTATCTAGTACATACTTGCACTTAGTGTTGCTACTGAAATTGACTACATCAACGAGGGAGAAGGTACTTGTTTAAAATGCTCCAATACCAAATCAATATAGTATTGTGGGACATATTTTCATCTTTGCAAATTATAAGACTTCTAGACTACCGTATACAGTCTAAAGTCCCAATTTAGAAGTTGGGCAATATGGTTGTAACTATAATTGTTAGTCATTTTTAGATTTGTGAATTTTCACATTGTTGTCTTCTAAAGAACCATAGAACCAAATTTAATGAAACTTGCAAAAAAGTATCCTTGTATGAAGGGGATTTAAATTGGTTTGAATGAAGGGACATCACACCCTCTTTCAAGAGAAGATAAGTACCGGTACATGTAATAAGAATCAGTAAAAATTACAAGGCATTTTTAAAAAAAATCTTTATAAGAGCTAATAGGCCAGCAAAGTTGAATCTTTTTTTTTTGAAAGCTTCAATCATCACATAATAAAGCATTCTGAGACTCTGAGACTCAATGTCATACCGTATAAGTATAGAATTTTTAGCGAGGATTTAATTTTGGCATTATTAGCGAGGGTGTTGACATCGCTAAAATTAAATATCGCTAAAAATTAATTGTGTTTTATTTGTAATAGCTTCTTTAGTTAGCATTTTAAAGTCGCTAAAATTACTTCTCGCTAAACGTAAAATACCAGATTTTAGGTAGAAATTGCTAATTTGTGTCTTGCTAAAATTTCCACTTATACGGCATTTTAATGTCCTCATATAGGGCCAAAATTACTCAGGTAAGTATTGTAGCCCATGGACCCCTTGATGATCTCAAATACATGTACTATGCAGCATACTAGATACAATTTACATGTAGCAGGACAGATATTTTACAGTTGTAGAACATTTCTAATTTATTATGAAACACACATTTTCAAACTGAAATCCACAGTTTGCTACCTGTAAGATGTTTATACATGAAAGTTATACATAAGTATAAATATTTAAGGATGGAAAGTAAATTTAAACAGTTATATAGGTCTGTGTTCTTTCTTCAGATTTAAAGTTTCTCTTAAAGAAGAACCATGGCTAATTAGTGACCACAGGTCACTGTTAATTTCTTTTGTAATATTTGATAAGCGAGGAGTGTTTTTATATATTTGTTTGGGAAAATAAAATTCTTTTTGATTATGACATGGTAGAATACTGTTATATGTATCATAACTCAACTTCACTTAGTTGCAAGGAGTGTTTTTTGAAATATTTGTTTTGGAAAGTAAAATTCTTTTTGATTATGGCATGGTAGAGTACTGTTATATTTATCATAACTCATTTTGAAGGAGTTGAATTATAATTTTCATAACTTCTTCATAATCAAATTTGCCTGTTTGCGTCAATACATTTGTAACAGTACTTGGCAATCCTGTAAAGTTTTTTGTCAAATCGGCGAAACCTCTGTAAGAAATGGCAATAAATGATTTAACAGAATTATGACACAATTAAAAATACTAAAACACATTACAGGTATGTTACCTTTAATCATTTACGTCCAAGCGGTCAGGGTACTCCTGACCAGTAGGACGATTAGGCTAATCTCGTAAAATCTGATTTTGTCATTTAAAACAGCAAGTCACTAAAGGTTGAATATCAGATTGTCAGGTTAGATGTACCTGTAACAAGTACTGGGTTAACCATAAGTTCCTAAATAGTATTTCTTGAAGTCCTAATATTTGGTATAGATTAAATTTGTACTTTTAAAAGTGGACGGAAAAAATGGTGCTCAGAAATTTGGAGTTTACTCAAACTGCCCTTGAATTGAAATTGAATTTTTTAAGGATTCAGGAACATCGTAAGTTGAAAAATTTTATTTTTTCTCTCCCATTTTTGCTTTTTTTGTACATTTGCATATGTAAAAAAAAATATTTACAAGCTCTTTTTTTTTTTTTTTGATTTGCAATTATTTTACAAAGGTCGTACTATAAAATTATTTTCTGAGATGAATTTATATAAATTTATGTTAAATAAACTATTCAATCCATGGAATTTGCAATTAAGTGCAGTATGTTGCAAGGGATCACAACTTCTTAGATTCTCATAAGCAGAGATTTTAAAATTTCAAAAGTTTTACCAGATATAAGTACATTTGTATTTCTTAAATGTAAATGTTTGAATACTTTTTCATTCTATTTGATAAATTGTTTGAAAATATCTAATTTTTTCTTGTCCTGGCTGATACTTTATTGAAAGAAGATTCTGTAGCAAAGGTTATTCAGAACTTTTTTTTTAGAAAATAGTATTCATGTTATTACGTATTTACAAGTGGTATAGAAGCGCTGGAAGCTCATACCCCTGGTAGTGACTGAAAAATGCATTCAACCTAAGGTTGTCCTTGACCCAAGATCTTTTGGGCAAATGCTGATAAACCAAATATGATGCCTAAAATGAATGTTATACTTAAACTTGTGCAGTTAGACTTATCCAGGAAATTTATAAGGTCACGTATCAAAAAGGATGGGCTCTTCTTTTAAATTTATAAGGTCACGTATCAAAAAGGATGGAAATTTATAAGGTCACGTATCAAAAAGGATGGGCTCTTCTTTTGCTAGCTGGCTTACAGTACCTCTTCGGTTATATGTAAATGTATTTTGTAGAAGAATTCTGGAATCATGTTTTAGTTGATAAATTCTAAATATGATGCCTTTTTTTACAAAACAATTTCTTTTTTTACAGTGCATTCCTTTCTGAAGGATGACCTTCACCTTCTTCAGAAGTTGGAGGATGGTCAGGATCAGTGTTTGATGCTGACAAAGAAACCCAAGTCCTCCGTAAAACAGGTATGTAAAGAAACCCAAGTCCTCCGTAAGACAGGTACGTAAAGAAACCCAAGCCCTCTGTAAAACAGGTACATAAAGAAACCCAAGTCCTCCGTAAAACAGGTACGTAAAGAAAACCCAAGTCCTCCGTAAAACAGGTACGTAAAGAAACCCAAGTCCTCCAGGTACGTAAAACAGGTAAAACAGGTACGTAATGAAACCCAAGTCCTCCATAAAACAGGTACGTAAAGAAACCCAAGTCCTCCGTAAAACAGGTACGTAAAGAAACCCAAGTCCTCCGTAAAACAGGTACGTAAAGAAACCCAAGTCCTCCGTAAAACAGGTACGTAAAGAAACCCAAGTCCTCTGTAAAACAGGTACATAAAGAAAACCCAAGTCCTCCGTAAAACAGGTACGTAAAAAAAAACCAAGTCCTCCGTAAAACAGGTACGTAAAGAAACCCAAATCCTCCATCAAACAGGTACGTAAAGAAAACCCAAGTCCTCCATAAAACAGGTACGTAAAGAAAACCCAAGTCCTCCGTAAAACGGATACGGAAAGCAAACCCAAGTCCTCCATAAAACAGGTACGTAAAGAAACCCAAGTCCTCCATAAAACAGGTACGTAAAGAAACCCAAGTCCTCTGTGAAGCAGGTATGTTAAAGAAAACAATGTCCTTTGTGAAGATTGCACAAAAGTGGTGACCGAGGGGTCAGTCAGGATTTTACTTCATTTGTTTATATGATGTCAAGGTCAAATGACTAAAAAATTAAATGTTCTTTGATATAGGCTGTAACATTTCAATGCTTGAACTGCTGATGATTATTTTATAAGCTCATCAGTCGTTATTATTCAGGGGGTACTATTATTATTCTTTATTGCTTAATACATACGTATTATCACAATATTATTACAAATATAATTAAGAGAAAAAACAGATTGGCATGGTATGGTATGGTATCAATACATGAAAAAGCAGCGCCTAGTTTATTTAATGAAGTCACTTGGTATGGCGCCTCTATACATTAAATATAACAAATTTGACTCACATAATAAATGTAAATAAATATACTGATATAACGATTGGACAAACGAAGAATGGATCACATCTTTTCATTTCTTAACTTAAAAGCTAAATGCAAAAATTTACCTAACTTACACAGCTCAGAAAAATTTTGTACACTCAATAATTGGACTAGTTTGAATGCGGATGGTTTTTTCCAGTAATAACTTTTGATATATTTACTTCTCACGTCCTTGTAAAGGGGACAAATTAAAACAAAATGAAATTCGTCTTCTATGATATTTTTACAAAATTCACAAAATCTAAATTCCTTTACAATATTTCTATGCCTGCCAGTTTCAATTGCAAGGTTATGGGAAGACAATCTTATTCTACTTATTTGTTTTTTATAAAGATTAGGTATTGACTTTCTTAAATAATATTGCAAGGTTAAATAATCTACAATGTGTCTGTAAAAAATACATTTTGTTGAACAATTAATTTCTGCCATGAGATTTTGTATGAAATTATCTTTTATTCTTTGTTTGATTACAGGAAATTGTTTACAAATCATTTCTTTGTCTTGTTCAAGCCAGATAAATCCGAGTCCATTCTCATAAAGTTTTTGTTTGATATTTACAACCCAATTATCAGAGTGTCTGCCGGAATATTCACATTCATTGAACAAATATTCATAACACATTTTCAAAATACAATTGTCAGTTTTTAACAGCTTGAACCAAAAGTTAAAAATGCGAAAAATGCGAACAATTTTCATAGGCAGTCTACCAGTTTCAACATAAATCATGGCAGTATTTGTGCTCCTTCTAACACCTAAAACATATTTAATAAAGTCCAAGTGTACTTTTTCAATATCACTAGCATTGTGTCCCCCCCATATTTCACAACCGTAATTCAATATGCTTGCAACATAAGTATCAAAAAGTGAAAACATTGTCTCAGTATTTAGACACATTTGGTTGATTTTTGATTTCATCGAAAACATTGCTTTTCTACCCTGGATTGCCAGCTGTTTTTGTGTATTATTAAATTTTCCATTATAATTCCATTATAATTCAAAAGTACACCGAGGTATATAAATTGGTCAACAATTTCAATTGGTTCACCATTTAGATGCCATTTTTCTTCCTTACGTATTTTACCTCCGTTTCTAAAAATAACAATTTTTGTTTTCGATATATTAACAGACAGGTTCCATTTCGTAGAACAATCATATAATGTATTTAGCATTCTTTGAAGCTCATCTATCGATTCTGGAAAAATAACCATATCATCTGCATACATTAAAACAAATAAATTCAATTCTTGTAAATCAACCGGAACATTTCCTTGTTTTAAAAACTCTAACTAGAAAGTAGCTATGCTTTGTATACTACAATATGACCATCATTGAAGCTTAGTAGAAGTAGAATGATCACTCCATGATAGTAAAGATAGTGGGTTCAAACACCGTTTTGACTGACTTTGATTAAAAATAAGAAAATGTAAAGGAAATAAATGACAATTTCAGTAACATTTTAGTTATATTTGGATTTTTTTTTTACAGATGCTAAAGTCCCAGAGCTGGACAAACCTTACATCTCCCTCAAACTCTAGTGTCTTTCACAAAACTGATGAAGAGGACTTCCGCAAAAAGTTCAAATCTAAGGTAAATAACTTTTTAAATGAATTTTGAAAATATGTTCTTTAGTTAAGGAAAGACCATACTGAACAAATTTTGTCTTTGCAGATGAAGAAGAAGCCATCATCTGAGTATCGCTTAGCTCCTGTCAGAGATTTGTCACCTCAGAACAACTCATCTGACGATGGAGGGTTCCTAAGTCATCCTCGTACCACGGTCAATCGCTGGAGGAGAATGGATGACACAGTGTCCGACCTCTCTGTGTCCAGTGGCTATAAATCCTTAGACAGGAAGGATCACAATAGCTTTCTGAGGCGATCCTCTCAACCAAGAGAGGCACAGAACAACTATCAACAGCTTCGCAAGGATGGAAGGCAATACCAAAGCCACAATGACATCTACTTCCAGTCTCCCAAGAAAGTTGTCAACATACTGTCTGAGGATGACAGCTGTACCATAAAGAGTGATGAATTTTATTCAGACACCAATACCCAAGCTAATACAACTCTGACTTCAGAGCTTGATGAATCAAAAGATCAAGAAACAGTGGCCAGATCTCACAGCTTGGGAGATCTTTCTACTGGTTTGACTTTGTCATTAGTGGGGCAGAGAAAAGCTGAGAGTATTCAGAGTCTACCCTTAGCCTCCCAGAAAAATCCCCCCAGGAAGACAAGTTATGCCAAACGGAAAGCAGAGGTGAGGAGTCAAGCTAAACACCCTAAAGGCAATAAAAATAGACAGAGTATAGAAAGTCAGATACAGAGCATAATTCAGGCTGGGGAAGAGAGCGATGTTACGTCAACCACACCTGAGATGAACGGGACTCCCACCCAGCCCATTATCTGCAAATCAAACAGTAATTCACAACTGATGAAAGAAAGTTCCCAAACATCACTGAATAATGTACATCGAGCATTAAAAGCAGACTTGCTTCCCGACAAGCATGGGATAAGCATGACAAAAGCCGAGAAAGAAGAGGACAATTCTTCTGATAAAAGCAACCAATCAGCTAGGAGTACTGTCAAAACACCCAACAGACCTCGACGAACTCTTCCAGTGGTGCCAAAAGGTTCGGAGGAGGTTGGAGAGAAGAAGAAGAAGTACAGCGAGATGATGAAGATGAGGGTGTTTCTTCACAGCAGTAACAGCTGTACTTCTTTATCAAGACAATCTCTCCTGTCTCCAGGGTCTGAAGGCACATCACAAAATGACTCCCAGACAGACACACCATCAGACAGGGAAGTGTCAGAGCTTTTTAATGGGCATTCAACGAAGCCCCTAAGACAGAACCAGTTTACGGATTCCAACATTCATGATGGTCAGATAGTCAATAGCAATGGGTTAGCTTTCAATGGGAATGTGCATTCCTCCTTACCTTCTGGGGTGAGGTCATGTGATTCTGGACAGACTACTATGAGGTCATGTGATTCAGGTCAAGCCACACTGATGTCACTCAGCAGTACAGTGGATTCAGGATATCTCACCACAGATGCTGAGAGTGATATTTCTTCCTATACCAGAAGCTTACAGATATCTGCTCACAACTTCTATTCCTCCAACAAATTAAATGGCTATGGACTTGGAGGTGGCCCAAAACAGGAAAGTGATAGAAGTTTTGTTAGTGCACAGCAGCTGCATCAAAAGTCACCAAAGCAACATATGGCCCCCATGAATAACATGTACCCAAATAATAATCCTGCAAGACATCCATTAAATCCAATGGTGCAGAATCACAATTCTCAATCTCAGATGAATACTTCATTTACTTCCCAAGTAAAATCCCCAAACTCTGAAAGACAAGTGTTCATCCCAAACAATGTTCATCAAGATAAATCTCTTGAAGTTATTCGAAGGAATTCAACTTCAAATTCTCAGAGTGAAAAAGCAAGGAATTCTTATTCACAACCAAATGATTTTAACCCTCAAGGCTTGAGACAAAGTGTTTCAAAAGACCTAAATTCAAATGAGACAGGACAGAAAGTGAGGCCATTATCTGCCCAAACCTCTGGCCTTCGAATACAAGACAGCACCGTTTCTTCTACTCAACAACTGATGGAAAATTCTCAACATTCTCAAAACTCTGCCATGCCATCTTCTGCAGGACACTCTGCTGTCCCAAAGAAAACAGATCATCAGTATTTGATGAAGTCAATCTCAGCTGAGAAATCGGTCAGAAAAGATCTGATGGACAATTTCTCTCCCGAAAATTGTATCTCCCATTCCACCCCTACCTCAAAAGGGCTTTCTTACAGTAATACTCTTCCAAGATCTGCTAACCCTTACAATCAAAAGGCACTGGGCAGTTCTTCGTCTGTCAAACAATTCTCCAGCCCTCAGCCCGTTAACTTCACAGGGAGTGGTGCTCTTAACTGTGATATGAACCATGTGAAATCAAAATATACTTTGTCTTGCCACACCGATTCATCAGAGAATCAAACTCCCGTCAATTCCAATGTGAAATATTCCACGGAAAGCTCAGGATTGAATAATAATAATACTTACATGTCTACCTCAGCACCAGGGCTTACTTCGAGTTACGGTGTTCCAAATAAATTATCGGCTAAAGTGTTTAACCATGACTACGTGAATGTGCAAGGAAGGGAAATCAGGCTAGGTGTGAACTATGATTCGGTGGATCCAAATTCTTCAGACGGTTCCAATATTTATGAGGAATTTAACCACAACGGTTGTCAAGAATGCATTAAGCAAGAATTTCAAAGTCAGGGACCCCTTTTTCCTAGAAACAATGTACCTGAGACTGTTTTTGTTCCCCAGAATGTAGGAATGAAAGTTCCAAGTCTGTTCCAATTACTTCAAAGTTATGACCTTCACCCCTTGTACATAAAACTCTGTGATAACCTCCCTGCCTCAGACTTCATTACATTCTCTGATTGCTCCATTGCACTGCAGAGCATGAAGCACGACAAAAGAGATGCCATAGCAATATCTACCCCCCACGGTAAATGTGCTACAATAGGGGGTCCTGGAAGTGCCTTCACTCCTGTCAAGAACGCTGTTGTTAGTACGTCCTCGACCTTCTCCATGGTAACGGTTGCCAACGTTACCACCCCAGCAGGATGTGACTTTGCAGGGATTCAGAAAGGGGACATTGTTATTGAGGTTTGTAGGAAGTTCAAATAAAAAAAATTGGATTTGTTGTTTTGTCAAGAACTTCTTCCATATTTTTAATTTAAAAAAAAAAAGAAATTGAGTTAAAATTCTCTTTTCTTTAAGTAATGTACAACATACCTGCAGTACTTCAGTGATAATTTAACTTCAACTTGTGTAAGCCTGTTAGGGCATGATTCTAATTAAAAATGTTTAATGAGATTAATTTTTCTTCCAGGTAAATGGTGCTACTACAATGTCCATCCCTGCCGTGTCACTGAAGGCTGCTATCCAGTCACAGCCAGGGGACATCAGACTGCTGATTGCCAGGCCAAAGGAGGAGAAAGAAAAAGAAGTACGGATAGAGTTTGATTTTTTATAGATTTTTAATCTGACATTTTAAATGCTCTTATTCTTGTAATATTTAGTGATGAAATGCAAGATGGTATTATTTACATGTGTAGGTTTTGGTATAAAATTTTCGATAATTTATTGCAATAATACTCTTTTATAATACCTTGAAAAGAAAAGAAAAAAAATATTTGAACATCTTTAACAATTTAACAAAGAAAATGTTAAATATTCTGAATAGGAATGTTCGTTCAACCACAGATTTAGATCTTATATTTACTTGAGTGTGATCAAGGGAGGCAACTTTTATTTGAAATATTGTTTTTGTTGTATTGTAGATTGAAACACTGGAGAAGAAAAATGAAGAAATAGACAACCTGAAAAAGCAATTAGCCACCATGTATATGGACCTACAAAAGAAAAATAGTGCTTTACAGGAGCTAAATTCTCAGAGAAATGTGACAATTAAAACCCGAAAACCAGAAATTAATGGAAACGTCATGAGCCATGAAGCCATTTTGAATGCTTTAAGTGAAGATGAATACATTGTTTGATTAATATTTGTTTGGAGAATATTTTAAATGTTCATTTTGTCATGAATATTTTTCATCATTGAATCATTTTTCTAACAGAGGAAATTCAGAAGAAATCAATTAACTTAACTTATATAGTCACTCGCTCATCAGTAACAATAGGTATCCATGTAAACATTTAATTATTTGTTTTTTCTTAGTGCAATGAGAAGAGATGTGAGAATGTTCAGTTTAATAAGTGAATTATTTGTTATCATTGCTGAGTTATAAATAGATCTGATGCAACTTACAGATATCACTGTTAGGTTCCCTTTTGCAATACTGGAATCATATTATTCTTGTCAGATGTTTTTGAGTTCAGAATAATAAATTAAGGAGGAAAAGATTTTGAGAATTTCTTTATTTCTTCATTGGACTGAAAATCTTATAGTTGTCGGTCATTTGAACAGTTAAATTATAAAAATTTCAGTCTGATATTGGAAAGTTAAATTCAGTAAAATATTTTAACATATGACAAAGTTTACAGTCAAGAGCCATTAACATTACATTCAACAAATATATATTGATATTTGGAATTGAGTTAACTAGAAAGAATTTTCCACTTTTGAAAAGACACAAATTAGCTGTCACATGACAAAAATAGTAATACTTGTATGTAAGTATCTGTCTCTAAAATTATTCATCTTTGTGAATAAGTATTTTAAAAAAGTAATGGTTATTTCTAGGGATGTCAAATCGGTCAATTTTCAATACTCGGTTACTCGGACGTTTTTCCGATCGAGTACCCGGGTACTCGGTAAAAGTGTAAGTAAATTGAAGACTGTAAAACATTGTAAACTCTTGTAGAAATAAAACCAGATGCACTTATAGGAGGTTAGCTTATCTGTTGTAATAATGATGAGCACTTCGTGCCCGATGAAATTTAATATAGCAATTTTTAAATTCAATTTATTTATCAGATAAAGATAAGAAATAAAATCATAAGTTGTTCACTGTGTTTTTGTTTAAAAAAATAATCTGCTGCGTAATTGTATAATGTAACTCTTCGTCGTGTTTGACAACCAGGTATCACTATCAGTCGTCAGAGCTACGTACAGTATCAACTTGAACTTGATCAAGTTCTCCTAATAGAGCGGATTTACGATTTTAGTACACTTGTTCGATCCGAGATTTATATAGTATTACGGGACGGTATTTTGTAGTTTGATGCAACGATGGACATCAGTTTTTTTTAAGCCTTTGCCTTCAACCAGTTGTTTTGGCATGTAATCAAACACAACCATATCAACAATCACACGTGGTAATATCATCCGCTCTTTTCCCGAGAATTTACGGCTTCTCGGAGAATTGACAAAATTATCTAATTTATTTAAACATAATGGATCTTAAACGATGTTCAGTGAAAACAAATAATTAAAGCCAAACAAAAAATAAGGGAAGAAGGCAGCCGCAGGTGAGAAAAGCCAGGTACCCCAGGTACTTGGTCACGATAATTACTGTATAAACACTGCCACAGGCGATAACGGTCATTTAGAGTCGTAGTAAACCCTAATTACTGTATGTACAAGTGCAATGAGCATTTTACGCTTTAAAACGGATTGTTTAATGCATTAATAAATAATATAAGAAATATTCAAAAATAAACGTCCGAGTAACCGAGTACCGATTTTAGTATTCGATACTCGGACGTTCGATCGAGTACCCGGTTAACCGGGTACTCGTTGACATCCCTAGTTATTTCTTAAATTTACACAAATTATGTACCAAAATGAACATAAAATGCTCAGGTGAGCATGTTGCCCATGGGCCTCTTATTATTATACAGTCTGAACCTATGGAGTCATCCTCGCAAGCAACGTGATTCCTATATTGTTGATTTAGGACCCCTTCAGATCATCACATATGTTCAAAGAGATGAATTGGATACTTGTAAGAGAAGCTAAGTTTTTGCAGAATAAACTTAAAGTGTTTCGATTTCTTATTGGCTTACAGGATCAAGACGAAATTTCTTAAACCCAGTTGCCCATCGCCGTATAAGCAGAATTTTTAGCTATGATTTAATTTTGGCATTATTAGCGAGGGTGCTGAGATCGATAAAATTGAATGTTATATCTCTAAAAATAATTGCTTTTTATTTGTACTAGATTCTTTAGAGAGCATTTTAAAATCACTAAGATTACATCTAGTTAAAAATGAAATACCATTTTTTTTATCGCTAAATTTCGGTTTCGCTAAAATTTCCACTTTAATACAGGGGTGCTCAAAAACACAAAATTGGCTACTCAAAATATTTCGGGAAAATCTGGAATCCAGGATTGTTTTGTGGAAGGGTAAGGTTAAATTCTTCTGCCCCTCCCCCTTTCACCTTCTTCCTTATTTAGTCCATAGATTGAAAAAAAAAATCCCTAAATTTGTGTCACATCTACAGGATATTAAGAAACATTCTCCAAAATATGATCTGGCTGTAGTGTAAAATGTTAAAAGCGTTCTGGGAACTAGTTTTTTTGTAATAAAAATCAATTTAATTTTTCGCCCTCACTATTCATAATATAGTAAAATTTTACTGCACATATACAGCTCACTCATTCATATTAGAAATGACTTCAGTGGCGGATCCCACAGGTACTTGTGGACAGGACCCCCCCCCCCCCCCCCAATTTTTTTTTTTTTTTTTGAATTTTTTTTTCACAAATTATATTTATTATATTTATTCATCATGTGTACCATATGAAAAAATCATGAAACCCCAAAATAATCGTTCCACCACAAAAACACCCCACTAAAGAATCTTGAAGGATTGAAGGAGGGCGTTTTGTGATCGGAGGAGGGGCCCACAGCAACACACAAAAAATGATTTATTAAAACTAATGTATATTTTGGACACACTTTTTGGGCGAGCACCGTGGACCCCCCCCCCCCTTCTACTTGGCTACTTCTAAAATGTAAGAGAGTTGAAAAGGATGGTTTTGTATAAGAGGCATGTTTCTATCGCAAATAGCATTTTCCCAGTCTCCAAGTTTGCAGATCGACAGAAAACATACATGTACCAGCTAGCATTGTCCTGATTACAATATACCCGATTTCTTTTAAAACGCGGGATGATTAACTCTACCAGAGGCAACTGATTGTTAAAATTAGAGTTATCGCTCTGTGGCCTTTACTTTCTTGGAGGTCGGTGAAAAAATGTTGAGAAGCTCTTCTGTAAGGTATTTTGTATACTAAGTATTTTGTATTTACAATGTGTTTCTGATATAGCATCTCCGAAACAAACTTCAATATTAAGAAAACTCGACCCCTGAATTTTCTGCATTCATTCAAAGGAAAACAATGTTCTTTTAACGAAAATAAATTCTTTATTATATACCTTTATATACCTTTAAAAATTCTATAATAAAAAAAATGCCGTATATTTCCAATGTTTCACGGTGCGGGTACAAAAAAATTAATGTTTGACCGCTGAGTGAGATGTTAGACCTGTCGATGAGATGTTGATCGACCGCTTGTAACGTGTCAGAGTGGGTGGAGTCAGCTGTATAGTGCGGGTAAACGAAATTTACATATCAAAATAAACAAATAAAAGGTATAAGTATAACGTAATATTTTTGTGTTCTCGGGCAAAATGCGTTTTGTCGACCCTCGAACCAAACTGCCTGAGGTCGTTACAATTTGGTTCTTGGGTCCGACAAAACAAATGTTGCCCTTGAACCCAGTCAATAAATGTTTATCATTGAATGTTTTCAAAAAAAAAATCTGAATTTTCATTTCAGTGAGTGTTAGTGGATGTTTTAATGATCTGATCAGGTGCTTCATTCCAAGGTATCAATTTAACATTCCCCTTCAATCATAAGAGTTTTTCACTCAACTCCACGTATGAACTTTTTTTTAAAGACAGTTAATCAGTGAATGAAGATTCTCTGGTAAAAGGTGTTACAGTATGTATTTATGGTTCTACCGATGAAGTGATTGCGGACATATCATTAGGGGCCCATCTGGTGAATCTCACACGAGAGAGGGGGAGATACATTCCGAAAACCGACAGATTGCTACTTTGTATATAAATGCACGACCTTGAAAAACTGCCAAAATTGGATTGTAGCGTAGTTCTTTAAACTGTTGAAATCTCATTTTCATCTTTGACTGGAGATTTTCTTCTTGAAATATACAACCCCTATTTTTCCATGGTACGGGTGCTCAAATATCAAAACAGCAATAAACACGAATTCATCAAAATATTCCCGGTGGAGTTCAAACATTTCCAGCTGAAACCAGCTGCAGTGCCGTTTTTAAAGGGTCTTTGTCCATAAACAATTCCATTAGAATGGTTTATTAGTTATTAGTTCAGTAATGTGTAGAAAGAATCAATGTACCCGGCTTTTCATATTAACATAACTTGCATTTCAATGTTTATGGATGAATTGTCCCCCCCCCCCCCCCCCCCCCCCCCCCCGAAAAAAAAAACTATCGAGGATTGAACCATTTTATATTCCTGCCAATTTTCCCCCGAATTTGCTGTCCGATTTTATTAAAATTTTAAAAGATTAATGGAGTTTAAAGTAATGCAGGAAGTTCAACACCGGAATTAATCTAGAGCATTATCCTTCGTGTGTCGGATGCCTATTTTAATGAATAAAGAGAAAACCCCCATTTTAATTACAGAAATATAAATTATGATACCTATTTTAAAAAATAAACAGAAAAAATTATCATACATTGATGAAAACAACTTGTAAAATTCACAAATCTTTAAGCAAATGAAGATAAGGGTTTGAAATATTCTTTATCTTTAAATAGTTTTACCGAAGTCAAGAGTATTATATAACGATGATTCAAAGTTTTCACAGCTTATCTCGAAAATTATGTTCTACTTCAATTTTTGAAGAAGAAAAATAACCACTGACGGAGCAGGTTTTCCCTGGAAAAAAATCCCCTGTGAGCACAGACTGAATGGAATCTTATTTTATACAGAAGGTTTATCTTTGTTTATCCGTCAGCTTGTTACACTTTCTCTCAAAAAAAAAAAACACGTCAAAAACTCCTAGCCATTAAAGAAAAGAGAATTTCTGATATAGGGGAAAACGAACGCGAAAGTGAAGGTAAACATAAAATATTCTAGATATTGGAGATGCTGGGATGTTTAACAACACTGACTGTTGAATTTATATCATTGGAATGGTAAGATTTTTTTTTATCAATTTGCCTTTCTTTCGTTTACTTTAATATTGAGTTTCATGTTTGTTAGTGTTGTTGTTGTCTAGGGGGTGGGGTGGGGGTGTCAATTAAGAAGGAGGCGCTGAGAGCTCTCTTTGTGATATTGTCGACCCATGATATAAATTGGAAAACTTTTAATTCACATCAAAGGCCTTGAGATCACTTTC